CCCGGACAGAGGTTACTTGAAGAAATCATCAGAGACCTGCACAGTTGCTGGCTAAAGACAACTGAGAAGGAACAATTGGACCGGAAGCTCAACATGACTCAGTACGGATGCTGCTGGAGCTATCCAAAGGCACAATCTTGCAAAAACAGATGACGTCCCACCCTTTTCTCCAAGGCCAAGCTCTTTTCCACTTCATTCCCATACACTTTTCCTGTCAGTTGACTAGCAGATATACCCTTCATTGACTTGGCTTCCCTTTAGAGCTGGGCTCAGGTAGAGATTGCCCAGTTGCTTTGCTGATCACATGACTTACTGCCACCAACAGCCCAGCCCCATGAGTCCCACTATTGGTTCCCCCCTCACTGGTGCCTTGCCTCCCCACACTGATTGGACAGCAAACAGATTCTTCACAAGATTGGCAGTCAGGAATAGTCCAGTCAAGTGGCCATCTCTCACCCCCAAAGCTCAGCTCCAGTATTACTGACCAGTCAATGAAACTGTAAATAATACAATAACCATCTTTTTAAATGCCTGTGTAATTTATAGAAATATGGAAAAGCATAGATGTGGCCAAATGTCAGTGTAAGTCGTAAAAGGGGCTGTCCAGTGTGTATCACCATTTATCTAGCTTGGTCCATAGCTCTGTAGATGACTGCACTTTAACTTTGTGACCATCTTCTCAAGTGATGAGGGATTTTGCTGTACCACCCGTTTAGGCAGTCATACTGAGGGTGAAACTAAAGTTATTCTTTAATGTCCCTCCAATTTTTTGCGAATGGATTTAAATTTATGCCCACACCAACCCTGGTTATTGACTTCTCTGAAAAGGAACATAGATCCTCCTTCCCAATTTGGCCTTTATTTCAAAGGGAGTGAATTATGAAAGTAGGATTTGCTGAAACTAGACAAGACACTAGTCAGACCCCAGCTGGAATATTGTGAACAGTTTTGGATTGAGGATAATCAGAGCAGCCATGATCTCATTGAATTGCAAGGCAGACTCAATGTGTCTGAATGGTGTACTTCTGCTCCCATGTCTTATGGTCTTACCTTATCATTTTGTACTGCAGGGTGCGCGGTTGTGTAGGCACACAATCCAAGTTCCTCTGGTCCTTTACGTGTCTTGCCATTTATTATGTATTGCTTTGCCTTGTTTGGCTTCTCCAAATACATTATGTGACAGTTCACTACATTGAATTTTATTTTTGCACTTTTCTACTGACCTGACCAGCACAGCAGAAAATACCAAACACCCACTGCCTCCCTCCGCTCCCCCCACTGCCACCTGACCCCAGGACTCCTCTTGACGACCACCTTTTGGTTTTCAGAGGCTACAACATTCTCACCGACTCCAGTCATTTCATAATATTCTTTCTATATTCATGTTCATATATAGCTTTTTGGACTCATACAGGAGCATCAATATCGTCAATAATTGTCAACCCCATTAAATTGAAAGCCACTACACATGAGGAAAAACATTGATTTCCTGGCATAAGACCACAGGCATAAATTAGCAATGAAAGGTTTTTGTTTCAAAATAACTGACCCATACTTCTATAGTGTATTCCCTTACTCCCCCTGTAACTATACTGTACTCAGCCTCTCCCTGTGGGATCAAGTTCCACACACTTCCCCACTCTCTGGGTGAAAATCTTTCTCCCGAGTCACATTCTCTGAATATTCTCCCCAATCTCTGGGTGAAGATGCTTCTCCTGAGTTCCCTGTTTGATTTCTTGGTGACTGTCTTATTTTTGACTTGCTGTCCCCTTACCCCACCATCATAGTCACTGTATCTAAAATTATGGAAGGTTTTTATCAAGCAAAGATCTTTAAACTGTTTTCCCTCAGCCACACCTTTAAAACAAATTAAAGCTCCAGGCTGTTTGTGCCTAAGGGGTACAATCATTCTTTGTCCACATCCTCTCGAGTGAGTTTACTCCCTGCAGCATACAGTGTGACAGCTTCAAAAAGCCTCTCCACGTTTCAAGCATATCCTTCCATAGAAATCCTACCCCCATTCCCCATTCAAACACCGAGCTGTCTTACTGACATTCTGAACACAATGATTTGCTAAATTGAGTCTGGAACTGGTCCCCTCTCATTGGGTTGCATCATACTGGTCAAAAACACAGTCTTCCTGAACACCTTTGAAGAATTCCACACCCTCGTGCTCATTCTGTTCACGCTGATTCTATCCCAGTTCCGTAGCGTAGCAGAAATTCCTGTTGCTTTTTTGTTTATAGAGTCATACAGTACGGAAACAGACTCTTCGGTCCAACCAGTTCATGCCAACCATATTCCCAAGCTAAACTAGTTACACCTGCTTATGTTTGGCCCATGTCCCACCAAACCTTTCCTAGTCATGAACTTATCCAAATGTCTTTTAAATGTTATAACTGTATCTCTATCTACCACTTCCTCTGGAAGTTCATTCCATGCATTAACTGTGCTTTGTGTTTTAAAAAAAAAAGTTGCCCCTCGTGCATTTTTAAATTTTTGTCCTCCCAGCTTAAAGATATGACTCCCATTTTGAATTACCCCACCCTGGGGAAAAGACCTTTGCTATTCACCTTATCTATGCCACTCGTGCTTTTATAAACCTGAATAAGGTCATCCCTCAGCCTCCTAAGCTCCAGTGAAATAAATCCCAGTCTTTTCAGTCTATTTTTATATCTCACACCCTCCATTCCCAGCAACATCCTGGTACATTTGCATGTCTTATCAATTTCCCTTCAGATTTACTCTTCTATCCGCCTCCGAGTGTACTGGGATCTATCGTATGCCCCCTGCTAGGCGAATGCTTAGTTGACAGTCCCTGTATGGGTTGTATGGTCTCCTTTGATGATCCTTACACCTATTCTTCCTCACAGCTGTGGTTCTTTCTCACAACACTCCTCCTTTCTTTTGTATCCCCTATCTATCCCAACTCTCAACCCTGTCACCAAGATTGTCAATTGCTCATCCTTCGGTAATAACAAAACCACACTTGCAAGCACCTACCTGTGGCCCTCAGCCTCATCTGCTTACTCACTTGACTCTTTATTTTGGAATACACACCACTAATCTCCAAACGACTTTTTTAACTGTCCATTTTGTAGCCTTTGCTTCCCCTTCCTCTAACCAGCTAGTCCTGCTGCAGCACTAGCAATCACCCCCAGCAAGGCTATCTGTTGAGAGTGAATCCATCCACCTGTTCAAGGAGGAGTTATATCTATTTCTTGGAGCTAGAGGGGTCAAAGAGTATGGGGAAGAAAATGGGAACAGGGGACTGAGTTGCATAATCAGCCATGATCACGTTGAATGGCAGAGCAGGTTTGAAGGGCTGAATGGCCTACTCCTGCTTGTATTCTGTGTTTCTCTTGGAATGTGTAGCCCTACTCCTGCCACGTCTCTCCAACCACCTATTTAGCGGTTCTATCCTCCTACTCAATGGTGTGTGACATTGGGAGTAATCTACAGAGGAGAACTTTGGAGGACCCTGCTTTCTAATTTATTTCCTGACTAGTTAAAAGTTTGTCTTCAGGGCCTCATCCCTGTTGCCACCTCTTGGCATTGGGAGCGATGGCTGCTCACACATCATAGTGGCATCCTCGAGCCTGCACTAGGGAGGAAACTTGCACATTTTAACACTGGAAATGGGCACAGAAAATGCTGGAAATACTCAGCACATCAGACAGGAGACATGGGGGAGAGGAGTTAACAAAACTTCTTTTTAAAGGCAAATAAAACCATTAGAAGTAAGACCAGGAGAAGGCCCTTGAGCTTGTGCCATTCAATACAATCATGGCTATACTGCCTATCCCCATAACCCTTGACTTCCTTAAATCTGTCTATCTCAGCCTTGAATATATTCAGTGGCCCAGCCTCCATTTTTCTCTGGGGAGGACAAACACTGACAACTAACAAGATAGGAGCAGGCCAGTCAGCCCTCCAAGTCTGCTCCACTATTCAGTAAGAGAGTGACCAATCTCTTTGTGTTTTGAATTCCACTTTTTCTATTATACCCGTAATAAATTAACTCTGTTTCTCTTGCCATAGGTGCTTCCTGACCTGTTTGGGTATTTTCAACAAGTTTCTGTTTTTAATTCGTGGCTTCAATTTTTGTTTCGTGACACTGTCCATGAGCTTAATTTTCATATCTTGGGGATTCTGGGCTAGTAACCGTAATGAGGAGGTGAGGAAGTGGAATTCTAGATAAAGGCAGTACAAAACCCCTTCAGCACTGGTGTCTACACGGTACTAGTTAGTTGGTTCTTGTGAACAACAGACATGCCTGTGATTGTTTTTGGTAAATTCAAAACTGAACAGGGGTGAGAGATCATGGCTGGACTTGAGAGCATTTTTGAAAATCAATCGAGAAACTTCCACAATTTGTACCATCCCAGCAGTAAGCAGAGACCCAGAGTTTGGGCCACCGAGTATCAGATTAGTTAAAATTAACAATCCTAAAAAATCCCCATGCAATTCAGGCAGTTAAAACCACCACAAAACGGGGCCTTCAATAATTTTTCCAAAGATAAGTGGACTTCTGTTTTTCAGTTTGTACTTCAGAGGGACTGTAGCTCATTCAGCTGGACGGTCCAACTTGTCACAATAATTTAAATATTGTTTCCAACTTGGTTATCATGAAATAGGCGGGGTGGGGGAATGGAGCATAAAAACATTAAAGGATTCCAAAACAGTTAAGCACTTTTGCCAACTAAATAAGATTTACTCCTTGTCACATGGGGCAGCTGTCCCACGAATTTCCCTGTTTGAGTAACTAAAACTTACTTCTAAACAATGGCAACTAGGGACAGGCAATAAAATGCTGGTCTGCCAGCGATGGCCACGTCCCACGAGTGAATAAAAATAAAACACTTCCTTGAGTTTTGCAGAATGACATAGCATAGAAGGCCATTCAGTCCTTTGATAGTATTATCTATTTCTGGCTCCATTGCTCTTAATGCATAGGCTATGCATTTCACCAGTTCCCTTTCGAAAGTTACCATTAAATCTGCTTTCACTGCCCTTTCAAATAGACACCAGCATTTTAGTTCACTTCTGTGTCTGTCAAGCTGAGTGTGTGGAAGTGGTTAATCACCTTGTTAACATTATTTAGCGCCGCCCCGAATTAAGATTGAAACAAGAGCATTGGAGAAGGTTTGAATAGATGGCTTCAAGAAGAAATGTTACTGTTAATTTTTTTTCCCCTGAGTGCTATCTCTTGCCTCTTACTGATTCAGACAGATTTGTTCAGGAAGTTTCTGTCTAACAGGCAAAGTGATAATTCAAGATCAAACCAGGAGTGGTAGAGTTTAATTTCCCCTGCTAAGGTTAAAGGAATTTCTACAGAAGCTCCAAAACTTCCCTCAAGCCTCCTTCCTGGCAGTATGAGCAAGCAGCAGCACCAGGTTTAGTTTGCAGTGATGTAGGAGAACCCCATCATCGTCCGTATGGGTCACCTTGGCTGCGTCAATGTTGATGAACTCCCATCTTCACAATATTCTGAGTGTACCTACACCAGAGACACTGCAGCTGCTGAAGCACCAACCTTCTTGAGAGTAACTAGGGATTGGAAATAAATGTTGACACTACCAATGATGCCCATGTACTGAGAATGAATAAAGAAATAAAGGAAGATGTGTGTGTGACTATATCACATGTTTATTTATGTTATGTTTTGTGTAAATGTATTGGACATTGATCATTCCAAAAAGCACTTTTTTGTTTTCCCAAGTCTTTCTAAGCTTCTCTTCTAGGCTGATGTCTATAACATTGAAATAGTACTGTTTGTCACAATTACAGATTTTGAACTTCTCCACGTTCTGAATGTACAGGAATATGCATGCAACCTTCTTTCAATGTGAAAATCTGCATTTGTATATCTCCCCTTAGACAACCTTAGGAAATCCCAATGTTCACTGGTCCCAGTATGGGGTTTCTGCTGAGGCACTCTGTAGAGACACAAATGAAGGGTGGAACTCAATGAATAGGGACCTTCGCTTAACCAAAGAATCCTGCTATTCTGGTCAGAACAACTCAAATACTTCCACAACCATCAAATAGGTATGCTGTTTACAAACTAGGTGAGGAAAAAAAGAAAAACATTACTCTACCTCCCCCAACCAATTTACTGCAAATGGCTTCTGTATAATATGACACTAAAACGGAAATTGCTGGCAAAACTCAGCAGGTCTGGCAGCTTCTGTGAAGAGAGAAAAACAGAGCTAATGTTTCGAGTGTAGCGATCCTTCTTCAAAGGAGCTGGGGAAGGGAGGTATTTATGCTGTGACAGCAAGGAGGTAGGGGAAGGGTGTGAGATGAATAGGTGGAGACAGTGCCAGAGAATGAGAGAAAAAAGGGATTGCTGATAAACTGGGAAAGAAGCAAATGCTGAATCGGTGCTAACGAAAAGCATGAATAGTTGAAAATGTATTAGCTGTGCTAGGATCAACATGTACGGAACAGACCTGGGGGTGTAGAGGAGAGTAATGAGCATGGAGGTTCACACTCTGAAATTGTTAAACACAATGTTGAGCCCTGAGGGCTGGAAGGTACTGAGGTGGAAGATGAGATGTTGTTCTTCCAGCTTCGGCTGAGCTTCACTGGAACACTGCAGCAAGTCTGAGGCAGAGATGTTGGCCAGGGAACATGGTGGGATGTTGAAGTGGCAGGCAACTGAAAGCTTAGGGCCATTTTTACAGACAGAACATAAGTGCTCTGCAAAGCGGTTGCCCAGTCTGCGTTCATCTCCCCAGCGTAGAGGAGATCAAATTGTGAGCAGCGAGTACAGTAGACCAGCTTGAGTGCAGCTCAGGTAAATCACTGCTTCACCTGGAAAATGTGTCTGGGGCCTTGGACAGTGAGGACAGAAGAAGTAAATGGGCAGATGTTACACTTTCTGCAATTGCATGGGAAGAGGCCATGGGGGTATTGGGGGATAGTGGACTGGGGTATCCTGGAGTGAATGGTTCCTGTGGAACACTGACAAGGGAGGGGAGGGGAATATATGTCCAATTGTGGCTTCCCACTGGGGGTGGCAGAAAATGGTGGTTTACGATCCTATAGATGCAGAGGCTGGTAAGCGAGGACAAAGGGGAACCCTATTGCTGTTGTGGGAGGGAAGAGAAGGGGTGATGGCAGAAGTGTGGGATAGGGGTCAGACACGGCTGAGAGCCCTGTCAACTGTGGTGGTGGGGAATCCTTGATTGAGGAAGAAGGTGGACATTTGGGAGGCTCCTGTGTAGAGAAGCTAGCGTTATTGGAACAGATGCGACGGAGTTGGAGGAACTGGGAGAATGGAATAGAGTTTTTACGGGAGGCAGCGTGTGAGGCTGTATAGTCCAGGTAACTGGGGGAGTCAGTGCATATCGGTGGCCAGCCTGTCCCCAGAAATGGAAACAGATGTTGAGGAAAGGAAGGGAGGAGTCAGAGGTGGACCAGGCTAAGTTGAGAAGAGGGTGGAAGTGAAATTGATAAATATTTCCAATTCCGGACAAGAGAGGGAAGCAGCACCGATGATATCATTGATGTACTGGAGAAGGAGTTGTGGGTAGAGGCTGGGGTATCTCTGGAACAAGGGATGTTCCATGTACCCCACAAAGAGACAGAAATAACTGGGACTCTTGTGGATACCCATGGCCACTCTTTTGATCTGAAGAAAGCAAGAGCTGTTTCCTTCCACAGATGCTGTCAGACGTGCTGAGTTTCTCCAGCACTTTCTGTTTTCATTTCAGATCTTAAGCATCTGCAGTTCATTGTTTTATTATCTTTTGTACAATTAATTTTACAAGTGATTCACGTCTGGAAAAAAAAAGTGGTGGGAATGTTCCAGTTGATGTGTATACGTGAATTGGGATTGATTTTCCTCGAGACAGTGTCTTCACATTTCAAACCAGGAACAGAGCAAATAACCTTAAAATAAAAGTCAAAAGGTGTTTTAAATTACTTTGAGCCCCCACGTAAAGAAGAGTTGAATTTTGTTTGGGTAATGTGGCACGGGACAGGAGATTGAGAGGTGATGGAGTGCATCCCCAAATTAGTGCACAATTTGCTGTTTAACACGACTGGGAATCCCACTCACAAATATTAGGTCATGTGGTTTTGATCCTTCCCATTGTTGACTAACCCACACAATTTAAGTATTAGGCGAGATAGTAGCAGGCAGCTTCAATCACAAGAATGAAGAAGGACTTGCAACTGGGCACCAAGGGGAGGATGGTGCCATGAGGGGAAATAAAATCAAATGTAACATTGACTCTTCTTTGCCATTTCTGCTTGTTATTCCTGAACCAGTCGTTTTTTCCCCTGAAAATCAGCCGACAAACAGGTCATTACTTGAGCAAATGGAACTTTATAAAATATGGGGCCTGAATCATTGATGTAGCTCATTATTCAATTCCAACAGGACATGAACATCAGGCACATTTTATTGGCGAACCTCCAAATAGATTCACTCAATCAAAAAAAAAACTGCCTGACTTGGAGCTTCTAAGAGTGTAAAATACTTGGACTTTACAGAGTGGCTCATTACATAAATTGGAGCCTGTCAGCTGGAAAACAGATGCAGCTGTGACTCACTCATTCCAAATAATATTTCAGCTCAAGCCTTTTAAATGTAGAAGCAGTGCACAGAAGGTGGGCTAGCCTTTTGAACGAGCTATCTGACTAGTTCCAATTGCTCTCGCACCAACCCCACTCTTACGTGAACCTTTCTTCTTCAGCCATTTCCCCTATTCTCTTTCAAAGCTTCTGGTGTATCTGCTTCTAACTCCCTTTCAGGCAGCACCTTCCAGATCACAACAAAATAAAGATTACAATCTTCTCCTCTGGTTCTTTAGCAATTATCTTAAATCTGTGTGCTCTAGTTACTGACCTGACTACCAGAGCTTTTCAACTGCTTGATCATATGGAAGGGTTGATAAATATCAAGTAGATTTGCTTGCCTCTCCATAAACAATTCAGATTGAAAACAGCTGGCTGTAAAATGCCCAGTCACAAGTCAGAATGTTAGCATGGGAGCAAGGTGGTTTATTGAAATGGCAAGTGATTGGGAGGTTGAGGTTATTGCAGTGTAAGGGTTGGGATAGTGGTGTCATTTTACAGTGAGAGGTTAAACTACTGAATCAGGCTGTCCTCTGTTATTTTTAATTCACTTATAGGGATATGGGGGCTGCTGGCTGGGCCGGCATTTATTGACCATCCCCAGTCACCCCAGAGAAGGTGGTGGAGAGCTACCTTGTTGAACTGCTGCTGAGGGTGAACCTACATTGTTGTCGAGGAGGGAGAGCCAGGATTTTGACCCAGTCTCTGTGAAGGAACAGCCAATATATTTCTGAGTCAGAATGGTGAATGGCTTGGAATTGGAGTTAAAGGATCCCAAGGCACTAACTAAAAAGAAACAGGGACTTTCTTCCCCATGTACAACATTTAACCCTCAAACAAATATCACAAGAGCAGATTTTCTGCTCATTATCACAGTGCTGTTGGTGGGAATGTGCAGTGTGCAAGTTAGTTGCTTCATTATGACATTGATGACATTTTACAAGTTGTAAAGTGCCATAATACTCTGAAGATGTGTAGGGTACAATAGAAATGTAAGTTCTTTCCCTCTGTCTCTTGCTTGCGTTATTCTGATGTTGTGAATGGCACTTCATGAATGCAAATCCTTTTAGCTTTACCTGTTTCTGTCAGTGTGAATTACACAGAGGTGGGTGGTGCAGGCTTCTAACATGGTACTGAGATAACAAGGTGTAGAGGCGGATGAACACAGCAGGCCAAGCAGCATCACAAGAGCAGGAAGGCTGACGTTTCGGGCCTAGACCCTTCATCAGAAAGTGGGGAGGGGAAGGGGGTTCTGAAATAAATAAGGAGAGAGGGGGAGTATAGAAGATGGATAGAGGAGAAGATAGGTGGAGAGAAAACAGACAGGTCAAAGAGGCGGGGATGGAGCCAGTAAAGGTGAGTGTAGGTGGGGAGGTAGGGAGGAGATAGGTCAGTCCAGGGAGGATGGACAGGTCAAGGGGGCGGGATGAGGTTAGTAGGTAGGAGATGGGGGTGCGGCTTGAGGTGGGAGGAAGGGATAGGTGGGAGGAAGAACAGGTTAGGGAGGCGGGGACGAGCTGGGCTGGTTTTGGGATGTGGTAGGGGGAAGGGAGATTTTGAAGCTTAAGTTCACCTGGACCATCTCTAACACCTCTCTCACCATCCTGGACCTCTCTGTCTCCATCTCGGGCAACCACCTAGAAACCAATATCCATTTCAAGCCCACCGATTCCCACAGCTACCTAGAATACACCTCCTCCCACCCACCTTCCTGCAAAAATGCCATCCCCAATTCCTTCACCTCCGCCGCATCTGCTCCCAGGATGAAGCATTCCACTCCCGTACATCTCAGATGTCCTCGTTTTTCAAGGACCGCAACTTTTCCCCCTCAGTGGTCGAGAAGCCCTCCACCATGTCTCCCGCACTTCCCGCAACTCATCCCTCACACCCCATTCCCGCAATAACAACCAAAGAAGGATCCCCCTCATCCTTACGTACCACCCCACCAACCTCCGGATCCAACGCATCATCCTCCGACACTTCCACCATCTGCAATCCGACCCCATCACCAAAAGACATTTTTCCCTCCCCACCCTTACCTGCTTTCCGGAGGGACCACTCTCTCCGTGACTCCCTTGTCTGCTCCACACTCCCCTCCAGCCCCACCACACCCGGCACTTTTCCCTGCAACCGCAGGAAGTGCTACACCTGACCCCACACCTCCTCCCTCACCCCCATCCCAGGCCCCAAGAAGACTTTCCACATCAAGCAGATGTTCACCTGCACATCTGCTAATGTGGTATACTGCATCCGCTGTACCCGTTGTGGCCTCCTCTACATCGGGGAAACCAAGCGGAGGCTTGGGACTGCTTTGCAGAACACCTACGCTCGGTTCGCAATAAACAACTGC